TCTGCCGTAAGTGATGCACAGAAATCCTGTATCAATAAATATTCTGCTTTACTGTGTGCCTGGATCACTGAAAGACTGAGATCCAAAGATTTTAGATACCAATCATTTGAACATTTGGAGATGTAAATTCCCGTGCAGATTACAGAAAAACAAAAAAGGAATTCTTGAGCACTCAGCTAAAACCCCCAAATCAATTTAAAAAAATTAATAACAAACATTCCCTTCTCCCTCACACAAACTATGTCAACAAGGACAACTCTCTTGGCCAGCAGCAGTGTCCCTGACAGACACTATGCTGACTGCATCTTTTGTTTTCAAAACACGGGACAAAACAAGTCCAGCATTTCTTCTCTCAAAATCTTCCAATGAATTCAAGCTGTCTTCCTGACTTGGGGAAGTAGAGATTTATCACTACCTTTCTTTGGACAAAATAAGAAAAATAAAGAGCATTTGCAACACTACCTAGTTTAGCATCACTTGTAAGCACCAAGCCTCACATCCATCTGAGGCCATAGTCTTCCTCTGTGATGCAACCTCTAAAATGTTTATGCCATTTAGTTTTTTTTTTAATTCAAGTTCCTTCTCATTTTTTGAAAGCGGCTGATTAAACCTGAACAACTGGGTTGTTGGACGAAATATGCTGTAGCTATGAAATGGTACAGCAGGGACCAGTTTCACTGTTAATTTAAAATGCTAGAATTAATTAGGTAGCGTAAATGAAGAATTTAATAAGCACACTTTACAACTACAAGTTCTGCTTTTATTAAACACCCTGCCAAATGAAGGCAACTATCTTCAGTCTGTTTTTCCTTGTCTCATTCCCTTAAAATCCTTGCAGTGGAAAAAAAAAAAAAGCAAACTTTTTTCTATTGCAACCCTTCCCCCATAATTAAAATGTATGCCTGACTTCCATCTCCTCTTTCAAGTCATTAGCATCTTTTAAAAACGCTACTGTATATCCTGCCTGTTCTGAGAAGCTACCAAACAAAACCGAAGTTTACAATTTTGGTTTTGAATACCAAATTAAAGGCTGTCTTAGAAGCTGTCATTCCTATTCAACTCAGTACGGTGTACTATCAAATTAGCATTTTTTTTTTTTTTTAGTAGAGGAATATGCTTCTTTAAACATGCGTGTCTTTCCAAAACAAGGGGTAACATCACGAACCGGTTTTTTTTTAAAAACCCTACTATCGTCTTAAGACTGCAAAAAGACTTGCAAAAATCTGGGCAATTCCTTAACAGGACAGGGGAAATCAAATCTTTTACATGAACTCAATCCAATACAATCCTATCTAGCCTCAGAAATACATTTGAGATTTTCTAATATGGTTTTGCCAGTGTAACCATTTAATGATAAATTGGTTTATGAACTTTTCTATTTTTCTTGAAGCAAGCCCTCTCTGCAGCTAACTTCTTATTCTGGCTTTCCTTGATTTACTCGGTATTTTACTTTAACAGAAAAGGAGAAACTTACTATCTATGAAGACAACCCATATTTTTAACAAAAAGAACTCAACATTTGTTTAGAGGCATACTATAACAGCACACACTTAGCTGAGATTTACGAAACACACAAAATTTTGAACAGAATGAAAAATCTGAAAGCAGACAAAACATGTATTGTTTCAGACCTTCACTAGTTCAGCAAGAATAGCTGAAGAACTTACTGTTTCTTCTACAGTACAGCTTTCACTGTCAAAAACAATCTAAATTGATTTTTAATAAGAAAAAAGCAGAGAACCCCAGAAAAACCAGTTTTTCCTGTAACAGCCTACTGGCATACTTCTACCCCTCCCCTACCAAAAAACATAAAAACACAGAAAGCCTAATGAAGAACACACTTACATGACAATCTGGAAAGATGAGCTGGGTATGACCTCAGTGCATTTCCTTTTTGTTACTCTCAGTGTTCTGAGAACCTTTAAAAACATGGACTGCTTCTGGCTGAGGACTGTATTCGATTTACGAACACTGAATTCGATGTGAGGAATGAACATGCATCCTAAAATGTAGTAATGCTGCACGACACCTTGATAACAGGCTTGAAAACACTGGCAAATTAAATTCTGTTTTCAAAAATGGCACAGATTTTGGAGACAATTCTTTTTTTGTGAATTCGGTTCTTTTGTACTTGCAGCACTTTAAAACAACATACAGGCTCCTCAATCACTTACGGGTGCAGTCCTCAAAGCATCTGTGCAAGTATTTTTTTAAAGTATGGTTCTTTTAAAGTATTTTACCATTCATAAAGATTTATGCACTTGGTATGGAAAGAAAAAGCACAGGCAAAACACTACCCAAGAATGTGTCAGAAGATCACATAGCAAATTTCTCACATCTTCAGATACAGAGACAAAAGCCTGGAGATGCGGAACGAAACAAAGAATACTGTTCCTAGCTGATGAAGTCATGGTCCTCTGTCCAAAGACAGCCAATTCTCTATGAAAACAACACTGAATATCTCAAGTATTGAAATTATATCACAAGGAAATCACCATGAATTTGAGGGATATGGGAAGCAAAAAAAGCCCATGAAACAGGACCTGTCATGATCAAAATTCAATCTGGGCACACTAGACTCCTGCAGGTGAGCACTAGGTATTCACTTCTATCTGAAATAACTCAAGTAATCTGCAATTTAATTTCTCACGTTATTTTCAGATTAAAAGGAAAACTACAGTCTGGAGGTAAACTGGCCTGGTGGTGGATGTGAAGGGGTATGCCACACTGGGCCAGCTACGCTTATAAAAGACAATGACTTCAGTTATTTGCATGGAAGTTTTTGGAGTGGGAGGTTAAGCCATTTGTTTTTCTTTAAGTAGAAAAAAGTAAAGAATAAATAAAAGTCAATTCCACTTTTCAATCTTCCTTTTAATACCCCTAAAGCTGTGTTCCAATCAGAAGATATATGGAAATAGATACATTATGGTCAACGTGCTAAAGAAAGCTCTGCCGGACTACACTTCCGAAGACTTGAGCTGCCCTGCAGCTACTGCCATTTGTTATGTGCCTTGTGTTCAACCAGAGCATCGCTCCATGTCAAGAAGTAAATAAAGAAGCACTACATGTTTAAAAGCACTAAGCTGATCATCTTAATGCTGCCAATATCAACGGCTGCCAGGCTGTTATGGAAGCAGGTATGAAGATTTGTATTTTAGTTCCTCATCCTTACACAGTGCCCCTTTCCACAGGGCGCAAACCCAAGTTGCCAGGAGTCCATCTGAAAGAAGACAGCTCCTTTTCTGGAATATTTCCTTCCCAAGGCTGCTGCTCTCTGTGCTAAACATAACAGTGCTGGTGATGCACTCAACAGCAGTGAAATTTCAGCTGTTCCCCACCTACGGTGCGAGTAGACACACAACCTATAAAACTAACCTACAAAGCAAGCTATAAAAGCTGATAGTTCATCCCACCATCTTCTTGTGCATCAGTGAATTCATAGCTGCGACAGCAAGGATAGAGTAGGCTATGTGCATCCGCACCCAGCCACACCTCCTCTAGCAATGGTGCAGACATCTCTTTCCTTTTCAAGGTAATATATGTAACGGGAGACTTCCCTTATTCTGAAGGCATCTACCAACAGCTGCTACTTCATGCGTAGAAGGAACACGGCAAATTAAAATGTCTTCAGGGATCAAAATTAAGTTCACTAACCAATACCCACAAATGTTTGAATAAAATCCAGAGTAGTGGCTCCCACTGCTGTTCCAGAACGCCATGGTAAATAAACTACGACGAGCATCTTGACTTTACAGTGCTGTTAATAGGCAAATATTTGAGGAAGGTACTGTGATGTTCAAAAGAAATTGTGATAATTAAGAACGGTCAGTTGGCTCAAGCCATTTAGACTACTCTCCTAGAACTTAAGTCAATGTTGAACAAAAACCAGAATGATCGGGGAAGTGATACCATCATCTGAGCTCTGCTGCAAGAAGCTCTGTGGCCTGTGACAAGCATACAGACTGGCCATGTTTGTACCTCCCTTCAGATTTGTACAGCGGCTGAAAAGACAAGGGGTTTCTCCTATAGTTGTTCTAGATTCAGTGTGATCATTGAAAACTAAAGGTTTACCATTTGAAGCTTACCATGGTATTTAGGATCGTAGAATGATTTTGCAGTAATCCCTGTGCTACGCATGTGTGATATAAGCACTGAGGTTTTTGCTGACCCCAAATGTAAACTGACCTTGATGCACATAAAGTCAACAGTAAGAAGCACTTACCTGTAATTTTGTCTCTCACGAGTTTGCAGGATTCAATTTCACCAATGCTCCCGAAGAGACTCCTGAACTCCTCCTGGGTCATGTTCTGGGGTAAATAGTTGACTATGAGGTTGGTTTTGCTGTCATCTGTAGCAGCCCCTGTCTGCATGGGGGAAGGGCAGTTTCTACTGTTGCTGGAGGGTCCATTGGTTGTATTGGAAGTAGGGCCGTTCGACACCTGAGGCTCCATGGTGCTAATTATCTACATCAAAATAAGAGATAGAAGAAAAAGCCCCTTAAGTTTCATAGATACAATAGCTATTGTTAAAAATACTTACAAACGAATGAGTAGGTAGCATTCATGGCCAATTTAGATACTTCAACAAAAAAACCCGGCTTGATTCCTCTGTTATTGTTGCAAAGTAGGTCATGCCAGTCTTTGGCTGTGAGCATATACTAAGATGCAGTTAAAAAACCCTTCTTTTTTTGTTAATGCGAAGCTGATTCCTGCTTTCATCACGCAGCCATTTTCACAAATGTAAATTTAAGCCACATAAATTTAATTATAATTTAAGGTAATAATCATAATTAAAATTACAGTTCCATTAAATCAGATGAAGTAAGTGTACGGCTCTATATGAAAAGGTAAAATATTTTACCTATTTAATAACCGTATAACAGAGTGCAATGACAACAACATTAACCAGGCAAAGTCAATCTGCAACATGTTGTCATTCAGATTGCCTTCAATTAATAAACTCAGTGTCCCAAGACATACCATTTACCGGTTCCAGTGATGACCTATATTCTCCAGTTATATTTTTTTCACTAATGAACTGACACGTCTTTAAATAATAAAGCCCTGGATTTGCAATCTTCAGAGGTACAAAGGTCTTCAGATATTTACTGGAATCAAAAAGGTTTAATCAGAGGAAAGGCTTATCAGGCACAGGTGCAGGCTGGAATTTTTAACAAGCGCTTCTACCTTGAAACGTCAAACTCCAGTTTTCACAGAAGAGACTCAAATAGACCTTTCCCAAAAATGACAAACACAAATCCCGCCTAGCAGAGTGCGGGCAGGACAGTAGCCCCATTGTCACCAGTGCCACCAGTCACGTGGGGAAAGCTGCCTGCCTGTTTATCTGCAGGCTGGAGGACTGAAGAATGCAAGTTTTCATCTGAAAACTGCACAGGCAGACAAAGGAAGCAAAAAAACCTGGGTACTGCAAGCCTTTTCCATATAGGTATTTGCCTCCACTATAGCAACCAAGCCCATCTTCACTGTCCTTCCCAGGTCAGCACTGGCAACACCATCTTAGTCTCAAATTTGGATGAACTAAAGAAATGCAAATGGTGGCTTTTGCTGTCTACGGTGAAGTCTGCAATGTGCAGCTTCACTGGTATCTCCTATCAAAGAGCATCCCTCGGATGGGCTCAGCCTCCCTCAATAAAGCTTCGGAGAGTCCACAATGCAAACTGCTGCCCCAGGCAAGACACTCCACTGCCCAGGGACAGGGACACACAGAGCAAGAACTGAGGGCTAAGACACCACACACTCTGAACCTTGTGTTCATCCCATCCTGTAATTATTATAATTACTCAAGACTTAATTTGCTTTCTTTTTTAAATCCAGGGAGGTACATGTTGTGACAAATCAGGCCTGTAATTCAGGAGGATGGGGGACACACACAGCAAAAAAAGGGGTGTCTACTCTAAAATTAACTGTACAAGGGTGGCTCAGACTCTACATTGGTTATATCCTGGCCAATTCTATTTTTATTAATTTGTTTTTTTAATTGAAATGCTTCAGTGTTAGTTTAATACCTCATTTAGGAAATAACCCTCTTTTATCAATGGAAATGAGTTTTGAGTTACCATTATTTTTTGTTATCAAGCCCAGGAATAGCTACTTGGTTTAAAAATTAAAAAAAAGAAAAGTCTTGCCACATTGTGCTTAACAGAAAGGCCTTAAATCACACAGCAAAATGTTTAGAAAATAAACACCACAAAAATAGTACCTTCTTGAAAGAAACCAGCACATCCAAACCAGAATCCCCCCGTCACTTTTACCAGCCACATGGCACCAAGCACTGCTGACACCCCCCAGCAAGCAGCACCAGCCCCATACATCCCTCCTTTGGGGCTTTCCCTTGTATCTGCTATTAACCATATTTCCTTTTTTTCAATCCGATTTTGTACACGTATTTACTCACACCTACCACTAAATGCTTCAGATGCTGCTAAATCTGTTTAGCTCCAGTCCAGCTGGAAGATCATCCTTTGATCTGGGCACCTCCGTGACCCCACAGACACCGACACCAGCTCTAAGCTTTGCCAACAGCTGACTGCAAGGCCAGGGCTCTGCATCCCAAGGCTAACGTGCTCATATATGCTGTATCTGCACCAAACTGATTAAAATCAGGGGGTGGGGGAATATTCCAGTTCTGACAATAAGACACAGACGATGAGCGAAGCAGCCGACGTGGTTAACTGCAGCTTTCCACATGCATTGAAATCATCTGATCGTATCCTTCTCAACATAAAAATCCCACAAGGTGAACTGCAATTTTAACACCGCTCCTGCCCTTCCGAAGCAGGCGGGAACACCACACCACTGGTTTCAGTTACAGCAGAAGCAGGACTTCAGCACAATGCACTGAGGAAGGTGCATCATCTATTATTAGCAACAGACAAAAGCTATCTATAGTTCTCCAGGATAAACAAGAACCCTGGATCTTTTAAAATCTGTGAAAGAAAACAAAATTTGAAACTGGCTGATGTCCTACTTACGCATTTTCCACACTCCTAGTTACATTTTCAGCATGCTTCCCTTCCACACCAAGCAAGCAAACGAACAGAATTCAACTCAAATATCTCACACATTCAGAACATCAAGAGTAAGCTGCTCTGATAAAATCTGTTCTTGAACAAGCAGGTTTCCCCATACAATATTTCCTCATACAATACTTCAAAATATCTTGGCATCAACTAATGTTGCACCAGGTGCCAGTTTTTCTTCCTAGTTACTCACTCAACTCCAATTAGGTTTTCCTGATTTTTCAATAGTATAAAGGAAAAATCAAGGCACTTTATTTGCCCTTGAAATTATTGCAGAGTTGTAGGCTACTAAAAATTGATTTGCTATATGAAAAAAATAAGATAGGGGATAGAGGGCAACACTGAAGAACTATTAAAAACATTTCTGATAAAGTACTTCAGATGTAATTTTTTTATTGCATCATTTAAAGTCTCCATTTGCAGAGAGATTTCTGTGCAAAAGCAGTTATGTACCAGAGCTTGCATTCAAAGCTCTTACGGGCACAAAGGAATCATACTTATTTCAGATGTACATACTGATTCACATCATTAGGAAAGACTTAAATTATTAATGGTAACCAAAAGGTAAGTCCTAGCTCTCCTTTCCAAACAGTCATCCACTCCCTTACATGTCTAAAGCTCAAATCCACTGTTAGGAGTTCAGTGCACACGAACCGGGACATTTATCGTCGATTACTTTTTTTAACATTAAGAAGTTGTCGATCCCACATCAGTAAGCACATTACATAAGAGGAACATTAGTTATTCAAAGAATAGATTTCAACATGCCATTCGCTGTTTTTTTTCTATCCACAACATTGAGATTTAGCTTTTTAATTCAGTATCTGTATCACAATACGAACATTTTGAAATAGATACTCTAGTTTCCTGGGCACACAGTTAACTTTCATTATGCTTTAATTACCAGTAATAATTTTTTTTAACACAAGGAAGTATTGGGCTGTAATTGAAATCTACAAAAATATTACAGGAGACTGCAAGTCCATCTAACTCACCAAGCACAAATAAATGTGGAAAATCCCATACTGACTTAACCACAATTTTTTTTTTTTTAAAAACAAAATATGCCCTTGTCCCTTGAAGATTAGTATTACACCTCTATACATGCTACTTAATTAGCAACATCTCTATGCTTTTGTAGACCTTCTCTGACTGGTCTTGAAATATTACAGTAAAAACATCATGTGTAATGACATTCACATGCTACTGGTACAAAGAGGCATTTTGTTTTGGGTTGTGGTTTTTTTTTTTGGCAACAACTTGCCAGACTCCCCATACTGCAACACCATGTTCTATATACAGCTTAACAGTATCTTGGAAGAAGAATAAACTGGAGTTCCTGTTGATAGACATTGATAATTTAGCCACCAATAATTTGAATATTCTATCTTTAGAACACTGAAAAAAATACTATGTGACAGAATTTCAAGACTGCAATTTCATAAGTTAAGGGCAACCCACATTTCAAATTCTGGATGTATTTCATCAGACTGCTGCTTTTAAAAATGACTTCTTGGTGTACTACTTTTCTCAGTATGGTAATGTATCAGTAAAGTATGAGGTATTTTAGTTTGACAGATTTCACAAAGAAATGCTTTGCTGCTCAGGAAGACAGTGTAAGCTTTGCCAGGGTTTTGCAAAACACTGCTAACCAAAAGGCTTGGTATAACCCCTCCTACAAAATATCAGCAACGAGTACCCATTATAGCAACTCCTACATTACAAATAATGTATCAGAAATACTCCTCTGTCGTATCTTCATTTTTTTTTACAATTACTTCAATTAATTTAACCTGCTGAAATATTAGCTCCAACAATACCGCAAAGAATACCTGTATGCATACTCACAACTATCACAATGCTTAAACAAGCTAGAGTAACTGACATTAATCTTCATTTATTACAGTAAATGTGACATCCATCTACTATTACAAAACAGTTAATGAATCACTTAGAAAACTACCCACAGACTGATTAAGACAGTCTTATCTCCCTACTGCATGCATAAACAATAGCCAATGGCTCCACAAATGTAAATATACATGCTTTGTATTTACAAAATGTGTTCTCAGCAGTCTAAAAGAAGGTCTGCATGTTGAACTGAAACTGTCACATACATACACTGAAAGGAGCTTGTACTCAGTAAATAGCACCCGTTCTTGTTATCTGAGTTATGTATACTCCACTGCCCATATTCCACAGAAATTAACTTCATATATATGGGAAAAAAAAAACAGTAACAATTATAAATCTTAAGAGTAAGTGTTATTTATATGCACTAAAGAGAACTGTTTTTAGACATACCACAAGCAATCTTTTCCTAACATAAAAAAAAATAAATCCTAAAAACTATGGGGAATTCACACAGACATATCCATTTTGAGGACTCAGAAGTCAAAAAGCTATCTATGAATAATGA